GTATGATGTACTCTGGTAATCACTGTTAACAGTAAATCGTCAAATTCAACTCCTAAGAATACGATCACACGAAGGAACTGCATGAAAGTGAGTACAAATCAAGTCGGTTGGACTGCTTTTGCGCTTTCCCATCCGGTACTTCTCTGGTCGCATCTGAATGGAAGTGGTTAAAAGGAATCTGGGAGGATTCTTAACGTCGACTCTTATTTCGAAGAAGTATGCATGTGAGGATGTCCTTCGAAGAAGAGGTGATCTGAGCTTAAAGCTACCATTACGACGTATGTTTTAAATTGAGACCTTCCTTACCTTGTGACTAGAAGATCCACCGAAGTCTGGGCAAAGTAAGCAGCAAAATTCCAGGCCAAGAGATGTTGGTGGTGGCACAGTAATGAGGTAGATGTGCACGATGATGGTTCTGCGAGATGTTGCGACGAGGAACAAGCGGTGACAAACATCAAATCGTTCGTACGTCGCCGGCCATTGGCAGATCGGTGAATTACGAACAAGTGACGATGAACGTCGCCGCCAACTAAGTTAGGTTCTAAAGGCGATTGTGCATCGACGCTGCTGTTTATGGAGGAACTACTCAGAGGAGGGAGCACCTCGGGCGATGTTGACTAAACACAACCGGCAGGCGACTGCGCGCGAAATCGCACGCATCGATCCGCCTCCGTTGCCTCGTCGACATGGCCACCTCTCAGAAGCAGTGCTTTATGGAAGACAGTTTTTTGCATAGGCCTCATGCGGTGCGTCAATAAACGCGTTGCGTATAGCATAGTTTAAATATATAAATTATAATGGAATTAAAACACTTACGATGACGTCCGACAGGTACGGCGGCACTACCAACGACTTGAGCAGGAATATGCTGCTGAGGCTTTGTTTCTTGGGCAGATTGAATACCGACAGCCACATGATGTCGGACGTCTCCCAGACGCCGGGCAACTTGACGACGATCGTTTCTCTCCGGTAAAACGAGCTCAACTCGTGACACTCAAATTTTCCACTAAAATAGGTTATGAAAATCTGAATAAACAAGGCACGGTCATAAGATGTACTGTAAAACGTCGCTTCCTGAAAATTGATCGAATATGATCCGAAAGTGTATAAATAGTAAACTTGTAAACCCGGGCAAAGCCAAGAGGAATGTACGACTGTTAAGTTGTATGGCTAACTACAGGCCGTATTATTTGACCGCTGTCGAACGATTACGTGAAACAAGCATTAGTCGGAAGTTTGATGTAGTGGCTAACGAAGCGCAGCTTTGTCAGAAGTGCCCTTCACTTCTGGAGACAAAACTTAGTCATTGTTTTAGCGAGGTAAAATAAAATGGAGGTAAGGATAATTGTTGTTACTGGAGTTCGTGGGATAAAAAAACCTCTTTTCTTCGATAGCGTTGTGGGCATTTTTTGGATAGCACTACGTGACTCTTCAGCCCTGTCAGGTACGCCTTTTGCCTGTTTAAATTTTTTCTGTCTTTACTTTTGATCAGTCTGCAAAAATCTGTGGTGACCCTACTGCGTGCGTTTTCTGTTGCTCCTAAATCTGTAGCCTACAGCTTCACAGCAAGTTGAATAATAAACTAGAAGATTCTCGATGACTTAGAAATGTGCCTTTTGGTCATTGACCAGCCGATGACAAAAGCAACTGGTTCACTGCATTACTAAGGGATTGATGATGAAAAATTTTGGTACTCCGAGGTCCAAAATTTGTCTGATCACTGAGGGATCCAAAATACGTTGTATTATGCATTTCGGCAAACTTTAACTTTAAATATGTTCATAACATAATAACAAGTAGCTCAGTACAATGATTAAATTTATTGCTAATACTATAGAATGAATCCTGCACTTCAGATATTGCAGCATCACGGAGCCACCTGAAAGTAAGGGTGAGCAAAGCAACAATGCAGCAAGACTGATGGATGAAACCTTGGACTTATTAACGAGTAAAATCTGTCATGCAAGCAGTCATGAGTTGACCTGCCCCTACTAATAAACGGACTGAATTTGTGTGCATAAAACTTTTTATATATGAAACTTCTTATTTATTTAAAAACTGCAGTTGATTCAATGTTCATGAATATTTGTTTTTATGACATTATCCACATATCAATTTAAAGCGATGCGAATCTACCGACTGACATTCGGTTCATGGCTAAGCAAAAATTCACTTATCATCCAGAACACGTCTCTGAATCATAAGTTTAAAAGATACGCCCTTTATTAATACTGTGCCTTCACACTCACAATGCTGAAAATTCAAAAGTGTCACTTGACGCTCTTAAAGGTGGTTGCGTCCCCTGCATTTTAGGCATTCATCTGTATCACAAAGCAACAGATTAGGAAGTGCTGTCTTAAAAAAATTGTTTCCGCCTCATCCCTGCTCTTGAAGTGAAGAATTCTATAGTTTTCCGAGGGGTAAAATGTACATGAAATCTATTTCAAGAGATTGGATTCTATTTTGTTGGCCCAGCCGTGAAATTCGCTGATCCAATGACCGGCATCAGGGGCGGAAAGGCATCCTCTAAGCAAACCTGAGGTTGCGCAGGGGTCTCATTCATGAGAAAAAATGCATCATATTAAAAATATTGATATCGGATTTAAACGGCGAAAATGCACAGTGAAAGAATAATCTATTTTTCACTTTACACCAGCAGCACTACTGCA